ATTTTTCTGCCGCTCGCACGCCTGGTAACAATTCATTTTCCTTGCAAATTAGCAGGCTTTGGTCCCGTGACGGCTACCAAAGTTCGTATCGACGCGTTGCAATGATCATCAGGTTGAAACCTACGTTATGTGTATGTATATGTAGATATACTAGATATACATTGTAATAGAGATCAGGTTGAGGATTCAGAAGGTTCGTACTTTAATGTATCAACGTAACGAATGAATATGTCTATTTGAAATAGAGTTATAAAGGATTAAATACAGAGGCACAGAATTGATTTCTACACCTGATATACATGTATTCCGGAGGGAAAAATCAGTAGTGGCAGGTGTTTCTGGTCGTACTTGGTCAGACGTTTTAGTCAGACTTGGAGAGGGTTGCGAGGCACGAGTTATAACCAGGCAAACACTGTTATATTATTTGAAATCTGAGACTGAGTTTTATTTCTTCCTAGGATACAATTTATAAGTGCGTGTATACAGTCTCTGGCCATACATTACGTACATTTAATTAAAATAAAATCATATTATTCATGTTTTATTAACACGTTCACTCCGGCGTGTACCACCAAGTGGCTCACACTTCCAATAGCGAGAAACACAAATAGCAGCGCCGTCGCGAATGTGTTAAGCAACAACATCCTGAGGTCCCCTTTTGGAGAATCTTTCAAACCAGCCGTCGTTTGTACAGTGGCAGAGCGCGATACATGAATGTAAATAAACTAAATTAACTAGGTAACCGAGTAAATGTAGGCGTCGACGGTTGTTATCGTTTGATACTACAGGACGGGTGCATTGTGGTCTAACGACAAACAATGGATTGATCGCGTAGCTCGCGACTGAAACGCGTTGCGTTACGCTTTTTTATTGGCCCATTAATTAACCTTCTCGCGAAACGGCTGCGAGTCGTTAGAGATTGCGATTAATTGGAGCCACGGCATCCTTACATTTATTGCTGTCTTCTGCGGTAGAGTACTGAGGCAAATTGCATTCTACAAGGATGTTAGTTAAATGTTTATGCTCTATTGAGGGGGCACATGCTCCAAACAATTAATTTTATTATAAGACATATTACTTTTATTCATAAAAGTATGATGTAATGTAATTTGACTGTAACACCTAACGTACCAGTCATGCATTTATTCGCTTTTTACATTCATTTAATTTTTGCCTCACTTTGCATTTGCATTTGCAGTTGCTTAGCTCTCTCTTTTCATAATTGTCTCGTTAGAGATGTCAGTAGCTACAACCAAACATAGCTACAGCCGTTGAGGGTTTGATTGTATGTCGTATGAAAATTATTAGGCAAGTTTTATGAGGATATGCTGTTAATTGACAAGACTGTGATTAAAATTGTAAGATAGTACCAATCATTTAGGCCTGCCCGCTTTCTGGTAATGAAACTTGGTTTTTAATCAGAAAGCGACCTATTTTAATTTTTTTTCTGAGAAAGTACCATCTCCAAAACATGTTTCAAAGGTGTCACTTCAAGAGTACAAGTGTGCACCAATAACATCTTCATCATTATTTCAGTGTCTACGCCGCGAGGCTGCGCTCGATTTCACTTTCCGCGTTGTGGGGCGGCGCGGCATCAGGTTCCACGGTTCAGGACAATGTATGACCCACCGGTGATGCACGCCGCCCTGCCGAGCAGACACGAATGACCCACTGGTGATGCAAGCCGACGTCAACGTATTAATATCGCCAAAGGAAGTACTCGATCCGAAGCAGATGCATAATTAAATATCAACATATGAAAGAAAGACTTCCTTACCCGTTAAACCACATTTTACATAATATACTCCGCAACGACTTAATCGACTTCGCTCAGGTCACCGAACTTTGATCAAGTACTTTCCTACTTCAGAGAGACTAATTGCGATCGAATTATCTCGATTAAAATAGTATATTAGTGATCGAGTGAAATTGTTCTAGGAATTACGACTAGCATTTACGACTCTTGGAATTGAATTTTCACTACCGTGTACCGCACGACGGAAATAATTTCGTCCGCGATTAGCGTCTGACCTAGATGTTGATATTATCACAACGATACCAACTACATTATACTCTCTCGACGTTTCGTGCATAGTTTCGTCTCAGGGACAATAGTTGCTCGCGTAAACGAGCCCGTAACTCTGTGATCTGTAATCGTTACCACGGAGAATCTCGTTACACGGTTTATCTGGTACTTTTTGTCGATAGTGGTCACTTCGAGTAAACATGTTTTCATTTCACGTCGATAGTGCGCGCTTACGTTTCTGTTTGCTGTAAATATTATGACTCTTCCGTTATCTTATCGATATCGACGGTGAGATTTAATTCAGAAAAGGTTCGAGCTTGTCGATTAATCTATTCCAATCCGGATTACGATGCATCGACGGTTTGTATATTTGATTCGAGTGGCGTTTATGGCATCCGCTTATCTGAGTTATCCGAGAATAATTTGTTCTCAGGCTTAGTTGACGGTTGATACAAGTGGGACCAACGCGATGGGTCACCGACGAAGGCTGAAGGGTCAGCGCTGCATTGATAACAATGATGTCAGCGCTTCGTTGACGGTAATCATACTAACGTGCGCTCTAGGCGTTATGGGCATCAAAACAAAGGAATGCAAATTTCCATTCGTCTGCTTACGCGTATTTTCTCACGCGTACGTGACATCTTGCACATACTAAGTTAATTATGAATAAATTAATTGTGCTTCTGAAGACGAGAGTTGGGATTAATCTCGTTAGACGTGTATCTATTGCTCGAAGAATGAAAATATTCGTCTTTTAAATGTATGACTGTTGGGGCTTTAAGCACAACTAAGCTTTCTCTGTAATATTTTTGAGGACAGTGAAGGTAAACAATCAAATACAATCATATGTTATTTTCTCGATTAAGGTTTTTTTAATTTTTATCGTGTTCTACTTCTCACTTGGTATCTTCTAATGGAATTATTTAAATGTGTTGCAGTTACCTTTGTCGAGTATCAGTTTTCCTCAGTTGACTCCTTCAGTTAATTTAGAAGGCAATCTTAGCACACGAATGAACAAAGTATGACTTCACTGACATTCTCCCAATTAAATAAATTAAATGTAGAAAAGTGGTATTTTTACTTATTATTTGCAAGTAAAATTTATTATTTTAATTATTAACCCGAATTTAAATATTATTTCTGGAATTTGTGTTATTTTAATCTCGAAACTCGAGCAACAAACATAAATTGTATGTTGACAATTATACAAATATATCGAAAGCGCAAAAAATTCGGTAATATTGTTCACATTCAGTGTCGAATTTGTTAAGAAAATAAGAGTTCTCGTGCCAAGAGTTAGCACGCTGCTTGCGTTAATTTGAACACCACACCCTGGAGTGTTTATCTCGAAAAACTGGTCAAAACTCGGTTTGGAAAGTTTATGCTGACCTAAGGTGGAAGACAAGAGAATTTTTCTTTTCGTAAATTAAATTAAGGGGGAAGTCTGGTCCAGCTAACGTATTAAGTTGTCCCAAAAGTTTCTTTCGTTTTATTAATATGTAGTACGTACACAATATTTTATGTCTAATGTTACATTATTGAATTTTGTACGATTCATTTTGCCCGGTTACTGCTACAAAATCAACATCTAAGAAATTGGATTGTCTATTTATATAAACACTGCTACACAAAATAATTGAGTACAAATTACGAAAGAAACTTTTGAGACAACCTAATATTTTTCTAATGCATATAATTTCCAGATATAATTAATTTTTGTTATTGAAGCTTTTTTTTACATATAAAGGGACGTTCAAAGAAGTAAATTTGACAGTGTAGATTTAATTTGAATGTATACATATATAAATATAGTAGTCGCAAGGAAAGAATTCGGTGAAAACGGTGGGATACGTGGAGCCTTGGAAAAACATCAGACAGATAAAATCAGAAAATTTTTTTCTTTAGTAGGTACGTAAAATGCGTATGAACCGCAATTTGCATAAAAAAAATTGTTAATTGCAAAAATGGCGGCAAAAAACATGAAAATGAACGATACATGTCGGCCGTTATTTTCCAATAACTTTATGTTATAATAATAATTCATTAAGAGTCGAGGTTCATTAGCATATAAACTTGATTACTTTCAATTTAAGCGTTGAATCAAGTGAATCGGATAAAAATTCGATGCGCTATGCGTTCTACCGTTTTGACCGAATCCTTTCCTTGCGACCACTATATCTACAATATACTATACTATAGAATATACTATACTATACTATACAATGTACTATACTATACTATACTATAGAATATACTCTACTCTACTATACTATACTATACTATACAATATACTATATCTACAATTTGAATGTATATATGTCTACATTCAAATGAAATCTACACTGTCAAATTTTCTTCTTTGAACGTCCCTTTATATGTAAACAAAGTTTCAATAACAAAAATTAATTACATCTGGGAATTATATGCATTAGAAAAATACATTAGCTGGACCAGATTCCCCCCTTAAAGAATTAACGAATTACCTCAATGAAATTCGATCAGAATTTTGCCAAATTCTACTTTCTATTTTCTATTCATTATTCGAAACGTCTACGTAGTTTGTTTACCTAGTAAGACTGTTACCTAGACTGTTATGTCTAGTAGACACCTGTGTCCCCATTTTTGTAGAATACTCTTAACTTTGGAGTTACTTTGTTCATCACGAGTAGAACGAACTAGAAGGATTCCCTGGAATGCGTAAACAACAAAATACACCTCTCCACAAGACGTCGAAACGTTGAAAACGTAAAAAACCACGCATTATCCGCGTCTCATTCATGCGTGTATCACGACGCATTGGGCGAATGCGCGGGCGTCGCTACGCGAGAAAAACAGAGGTTGCACGTGGTTCGTGAATGCTCGTACCTGCTCATGTTCTGTTTCTCCAGCCCCACCACGAGGGTCCCCTTTCCTTCTGGCATGACTAACGCAGCCTCATCGGGAAACCTCGACGGTATAAAAGTGGACGAGCATCTGGCGCATTCAGCCAGTGCGTCTCGCGCGAACGTCGAGAAGCTTTGTCCGTGTTGCAAGCATTTTCCATTTGCCTTTGTTTATACAAACGCGTTTGAAATCGACTCGATTTTTGCTAACGATCGAAGAGTTGTTGGAATTGAAATCTTAGAATCGCGCATGCATCGAGGAACGCGTTAAATAGAGACTTAATTCCGCGGAGGAAGCCTCGAGTTTGTGGAGTTCCCTGCAGAAGTGGAAACGTTTGATCGACAGAAGAATAATTAGTCTTTGGTCGAAAGGAAGAGATCGTTAAGCATCGAAAATGCCAGTGGAATTGGAGACGGTGACGCCAATCGCCACGCACAAACCTTGCGCGCCTTGCAGAGGGTAGGCATTGTGTTTAGATTTTCTCTTGTTTCGATCCAGCGTTCGTGTAGTGCGGTAACGTCGGGATTAGAGACATTGCGGCAACGATTGTCGCGGTGAAGGTACGCGTGAAATGTAGGGAACAGCTGATTGCCACACGAACACCAGGTTGTAACGGATATGTCCAGTTAATGGCAGGTTTCCGTTCGTTATGACTATTAGAAGCTCGAGTTGATGGCTCGACCTTGTAGGTACTTTAGCTATCGACACGGGCACTTGCGTTAGATTTATTATTAGCGATATCTGTACGCGGAGTTGGGCATAATTTTCTTAGGATAAAAGATTTTGAATAAGGAGACAGTAAGTGGAACAGTTATTCAGACAAGTCTTTATTTCTTTAATAAGGAGCAAACAAAAGGTTTCTCAATTTGTTTTCTATTAATCGTGGTGAACATATATATAAATTGGATATGTTCTATATTATTCGTTTTATTGAAGCAACAAAATCCTAAAGCTCCCTTGGGGAAAATCCTTTATAACTAGACTGCAGATTTTATGCATTTCTAACGTACAATAATATAGTAAACATACATAAAACATACATAATTCATGATGAATATATTTTACAATTATTATAATACTATTATTTTACTTTCCACAAGTGCACATACCTTTTAGCTATGTTCACCATGTACTTGCTATATTAATTCATATCATAAAAGCATAAAATCTGCAATCTAAATATGTCGAATCAAATTCAGTCATGTATCCTTTATTCTTTATTCGAGATTTCTATCTAATATTTTATCGACTTATTGTTGGAATTCATTTTGCCTCCACCAGATACTCCTCAGCGAGTAATAGAATGAACTAGAAGGATACGGTGCCACGCATGTTTCAACAGTACGCTCTGTTGCAAATATTTCGGATACTGCAATTACTGCGTGTCGTGTTTCTTCAGGTGATCTATGCCGACTGAATTATTGATCCAACAAAGGTCGACTTGAATTCGAGTTCCGTTAGCAAACGGAACCGGTTGTATAGCAATCTATGGTCGGCGTTGTTTCATACCGAGTGTTAAATTAACTAATGCACCGACCACCTGTGTTTTTAATTTGATTTTTCAACTAGAAGCATCGGTTGTTATTCGATCGTACGTTCTAAAAAAAATATTTGTACGGTAGACTCTTGGTGGAGCTCCCCTAAGTGGTAGATGTATCATTTTCTAACGAGGGTAATCGAGTAGTTAATGGGAGGAAATAGACCATCAGGGCAGGCTATATATTTTTTAGATCAATTTATTAACCGTTTGCGAGTGGATATTTCGGAGTATATTAAACAAGTGGGAATAAGTTTTGATAACAGGTCATTTTTATGTATCTAAAAATTACTTTATATATTTTAAAAATGATAATCTAGTGAGTTCTTGCATATTAAGATTATGCATTAAGATCTTGCAATGAGGAATTTATTTGAAATGACGATGTCCAGTATATCCGGACAGGAATACAATTACGTTTTGTCCAAGACCAGTTAGACTATTAGCAAGCCTCTTCATAGAGGCTTATCTAGAGGATCCTACCTTGAACGCGACGCTAATAAATCTTCGAACAGGATTCATTTATTCAATAGTTAGGTATTCAGCAATTAGTCTCAGTCAGAATGTCCTAGATCTTACAAAAGATTCTAGCTAACATATCAAGAATGAAACATACCGCAACATTCTCAATGCACCAACCCTGCTGTTATCAACCCTTTGCACTCGAAGCCTTCTCTTTTTGTATCTACTAGCAACTCAAGATGCTTCTTTAGCATTCTATTGCCACGAATGCTGAGCTTAGATTAATCCTTTGCACTCGAGGCCTTTTTCTCTTAGGCGAACTAGCAACTCCAAACGATTTCGGCTATATTAGGGAAACGTTTTACTGGTACTTTATAATGATCTTAAATTCAAGCAAACGTATAGAAATAATAAAATTTATAAAACATACAACATATAAAACAAAATCTGTTAAATATTTTACTTTGTATTTGGTTTTTGTATGATATTTTACAAAACAATGCCTGAGATGAATTCTCAGTTTGTTAGGGCATGTATCATAATAATAGGAGATTTCTCGCCTGACGCCAGGTTTATTACGGCCATAGCAAACCTTACAGTCCCTTTTTATCTCTTTCAAAACAATATGAAGCTTTCCATTTAGCCGAGACTCATCGCTGTTTGGTCTCGCTGCTTGATCGCGATGCTGGCGATATGGTTCTCCAAATTCTTCAAGTCACCTTTACCTCATCGACAATCATTTTATTGACACTTCGACTTCCAAAATAATTAAAGCTAAACAAGAATTATTGCTGGTTGATTTACTGCGTCGAACCTGATGGTGACCGAGAGTCACCTTTCGAGTGGAAAGGGTTAAATCATCAATTATAAAAGACACAACAATTTCTCAGCTACCGTTGGATATCGCTTAGGCTAATCTGTACCTTCTGTACTGTACCATCTGTACTGGAATCTACATTACTTTAGGTTAGTCGGTAGTTTTATCTCCATAGGATAAGTAAATATCTTTAAGTTTCAAACTACGTATCCGACCCTTGTACCCTTACTCACTAACTCCGAATGATACGCTCGACTCCTTAACATCCAACGATTCTCATTGGTTCCTCCTTGTTTCCACCACCTTCTGAATCCTTAAACACAAACCTTTAAAAGGCACACCAAAACTCATCACGCGAGCTTTTTCGTAACACAATTTAACAGAAGTAGGAACGCAACGGTAATGTAGTTTCTAAGTACCGAATTGTAGTAGAAACGGAACATCGAAATAAATCGGAATCTAACATTATTTTAGTCGATCGAAATCAGATGGAAGATGCATTAGAATGTACACCGAGGAAAATAAGGAAGCAAAGCGACTCAAGGATCGTTTTGATGACGAAAACTCTCATAGTTATGAGCATTTGAAAAATCGTTCCGGTTTGCTTGTCCGCTAGTGTAGTTTCCAAGTACCGAAATATAGTAGAAACCCAACATTGAAATAAATCGGAATCTAACACTACCTCTTTGCGTAAGCTTTAAATACCTGGTCCATTTCTGAAACGACATCAAAATCCTTGCCCCGCGACACTTACCAATCAAGCAGTCACGGTGCCTTTCATCTGTTCCAGGGAAGAGAAAAAGATGAACAAGCTCTGCAGACAAGTGTCCATCGAGAGTCCGAGCGTAACAGGTCGCGAGTGGGTGTTCAGTATCGACGTACCTGTTCCCGATGTCCCAGCCCATGGAGCCCGCATTCGAGTGATGTGTGCAGGTGCCTGCTACCATCCTCGTCGTTCACCCAGCCTATCCAGTCTGACCTCGGTCTCAAGTGGAAGCAGCCTGGCCACGGAAGTCTCCGTGGAGGGCGATTTTCCGGTGTCTTTGCCCCATCATGGCGTCAGGGACGCCGCTCTGTTCCCTGGCTACGAGGTCGCAGGAGTCATCGAGTCCCTCGGCGCTAACGTACCTGAAGATTGCGGATACGCCGTCGGAGATCGCGTGATCCTCTACCCATACGAAGGCATACCCAACGGATACGTCGAGTATCTGGTGGTTCACGATCTCAAGTACCTGATAAAGTTACCCGATAACGTAAGTCTGAGCGTCGCGGCGATGCTGCCAGCTGGAGCCCTGCTGGCCATGAACACCGTCTTCGCCGCCCACGAACACGTCCAAGCTTTGCTCAAGCAACGCGGCGAGGGCAGCGTCTGCAAGATCCTGATCGTTGGTACCGGAGGTCTCGCCCTTTGGGCCCTCAGGATCGCGGCGTATTACTTCAGCAACATGAAGGACCGCGTCACCATCACCATCGCCTCCCTCAAGGACGACGGGCTTACCATGGCTCAAGAATTCCAACGGTGAGTTGCTTTGGTTTGATGGATGCGATGTCGATGTTGTGTAGGTGTAGGGTGTTCTCACGAGTTCGTCCACGGTTGGAGAAGCGACGTTGGTTTTGGGCCGGAAAGTAAAGGGTTTTCCAAAGAAGGTCTTTGTAGTAGTGGGTTTTAATGAAACAGCTGAGATTCTATCTTGTGTATTTCGTATAAAGAGTTACCGCGTATTCGTAATAAGGTGTCAAATATTTTGGAGCATTATAATTTACTTACTTGTCATTCGTGTATTAAGGGAACCAATATTTGTGAATTTGTGGTAATGAGCAGATTAATTTGTCTATATTTAAAGGGTGAATGTATTTTGGAGCTCAAGCGTTGGATAGATTGAGACGATTTTCATGTATCTGAACATTACTCTATCTTATGTATAGATTTCATTATAATTTACTTACTTGTTATTCGTGTATTAAGGGAACCAGTATTTGAATTTGTGGTAATGAGTTTATCTAAAACTATGGAAGTACAACGTTCTATCTCCTGTTTACCTAGATTTTCAACTTTTCTTTTTATGTATAATTATAGACCAATTTAAAAAGAGCCTGTAACTTCTATTAACTTTTATATACTGTTTCCAAGTATACCAAAAACTTATTTTATAATAAGTCCCGTTCTGGAGAACCTTTTAGTTTCTAGCATAACGCACCTTATTTTTCATTTTTCACGTCGCTTCTCGTTCACCATTATGTGCATGACGTTTGTCGGCTTGTATATAGCGAGACGCGCTCGTTATTGATCTTTGACATCGAACAATTGACGATCCCTGTTTGATCTCTGTTATCCAAACCATTCTGTTTTCGTTGCTTCAGTAAATTGACCGTATCGACGGATCGAGTATAACTTTCTGTAACTTGACACGTCTTCGCCTGATAAGTATTATGCAAACCTTATCTCGAATCGTTTTCCGTGTCCTCTCGTGTGGGGGCTACACGTCACGAACATAAATAGCGTTTAATCTGATAACAGACGATACGGTTTGTATACAACGTTATATTTACCTTTCCTCGACGCACGTTTCAAGTATTATGGTTTTTTGCACCAGCTTCGCACAAATTACGAGCACCAGCTTAAGTCGTAAAATTTGCACGTAGGTGACGATTATATCGAATCTTAGGTATAGGGCCAAATTACTTTCCTTAAGCTTATGCATTACAAGCTTAAAAATAGTTAGCATTTGATTAAAAACGTCCTTAACTAAAGATCGTATGAATCCTCATCATCTCTACCAATTTCAATTCGCAACCATCTCAAGGAGAACAAAAATCAATCCAGGACCTCGCAGCTACTCTTCAATTTTCGTGCTTAAATCTCAACCCAAAGTACTCCAAAATTCGTCCAATTCTTCCCCTTTGATACAGAGAATCCTCGCGATCATAGATCCTCTAGATGTGCTTAGACGCTTCGGATGGACCCCTGAACCCAAGTAGATAGTCGAATGCCCAGTTCGTCTGCGTCCACCTATCAGTCCATTCGATTTATTCACCAACAGTCTGCTTACTGCTTACAGCGTGAACGTGGTCCAGTGGAGCGAGGACCTGTACGAGAAACAGCTGATCGAGCGCACCATGGACGCCTGTCGGGGCCACGTGGACGTGGTGATCGACTTTGGCATCACGTCACGCAGTCTCCATCGCAGCATGCAATGCCTGAGCAAAGGTGGAGTGGTCTTCATCATCAAGGAGGTAGCGGATCGACTGATGCCAAAGTTCAGCCGACGAGCCGAAGAATGGCAGCAGAGCATAAAATCCGTCGAGCCTGGTACCCTCGAGCAACTTAGCGAGCTGGTCCAACTGGTGGCTTCCGGTGAAATCGAGCCACCACCGCACACTGTCTATCCTGCCGAGCAGGTTCTCGACGTCGTGCAGAAACTATGCCATTCGGAGATCCAGGGACGCGCGATTTTACGTTTCTACCCAGCGGATTAAGGGATTCCCTCGATTGGACGATTGGGTGCCGCGCGGATCGGTACGGCGAGAACTCGAACACGATTGGGGGAAGGATGAAAGCTCTGCTGGATTATCTAAGGTTGCCAGAAGATGCCAACGTCGAGTATTCGGCATAGACGGGTTTGAAGTTTCAGATTTTGCAAACGGGAGTAGTTCCCACGGATCGTTCTGTAGGAGCGTTAACGATTCGTGTCGGAAGGAACACGATCTTCTAGAAGAAGAGTGGACGATCGACGTAGACAATGCACGCGTATCACTGGGTATCTATCGATGATGCAAACGCACCGCTGTGCTGTTCCCCGTACGCTGTCGATCATAGAGCACTTTCGCTGAATTCTTTCGGTTTTTTCAAAAGTTCACATGTTGGCGAGAACCGACGGTTTCTCGATGTCGTATTATCGTAAGATAGTAAGAAGTATTAAAGAAACGATGATGTCATGTAAATCTCCCGGGTATCGCGGAGAAAGTTCTCGGTCGAACTCGATATAGCATCGCGGTCACGCGTGAGATTTACTTTTAACGTGGTTCTTTCGCTCGAGTTACTGGATTGCTTCGCTTCACGCATTGCGCGCAAATCTTAGCTGTAGAATTTCTACCGGTTGCATGTTACAAGGAAGTAGACTATACATGTACGCAAATTTTTAATTTATTTTAATTTAAACATAAAGCAATAACATTTAATATTTTTTTGAAACCTTTCAAGACGTAGAGGTATTTAGAATCTATCCTGATTTCGAACAGAACTGTTCCGATTAAATTGAAATTTGTGTCCTGTTTGATATAAAAGTGAACATACATATGGTAGTACACCGGTAAAGTCTACAAAGTAAAGATTCTATAATAATGTAAAACCGTCGCGCAACGTGTTAAGAACCACACATTTGTCAGGACCAGAATTTTAATGAACCCTTTCCATCTAGGATGGAACTGATCCTTTTTTCGAAGCAATCTCATAGTACAAAACATATACGCATTACAAAATCACATTGGGGTCTAAAGGATTTTCCAAAAGGGTCCTTAAAATTTTGTTTTATTGATCCAACACGTGGAAGATGGAGTCTTGACGGCCCTTTCGGAGAATCCGTTACACGTGTTGCCAGCAGGTCCAAAAGAGTTAAGGGAACAACCATATTCTTCGACTAGATTTATAAACATGCTGGTTGAAAACGTTAGAGAGCTTAATTCAACTTGTAATGTAGCATTTTGGTCAGGTTCTAGGAGTTCGTATACGCTAAAAATCTTGTAACAACGCGGGACCTGCGTGCAATGAGTTAAGAGCCACCGATAGAGCCCGATTCAATTTACTGGATGTCGATGGAACCACGGGAGAGATTCTCGAACGAAAGGAGAAGCTTTCCTTTCCACGAGACACGTTCAATGCTCAAGTTTCTTGGTCGGATAACGTTTCTTTTTAATCATAGGATAAAACGATGAATTGACTTTTCTGCCAACAGTTTCACACGCAAGATTCATCGAAGGTACCTATGGGTACCTTTCACGTGGCTTATCCGATCGTTGAACAAGAGTTATCGTTTGATGATTCGTCGAGTTAACCCCTTGCGGTCTAGATTTACCAATTTCTGTACTACTTCCGGCGAGCCTCGCTCGACCTAGGACCGCAAAGGGTATTGAGCCCGACGTGCTGATCTTAACGTTCACGTGGTAACGCGAAGATACCCAAGAAGGATAATTAATTGTAACGTTAAATATTTCATGTCAATTGAATGTTAATTACCGTTATAGTTTGATGTTTCTGAACGAAGATACTGGACTGGAATCGCGAGATTATCGAGAAATGTTCGTGAGAGAGACGAGTTTCCTCGTCAGGATTGCAAACTCTCTGTATTTAAACAGTGTAAATCGTATAGAGAATGTATTTTGAACGCGTACTTAAAACGTACTCGACACGTATTTAGAAACAAGGACGAGGAACAATTGTTTCCCAATTTATTGGGCGTACAAGTATCATATCTGCCAACGGTTTCGCGAATGAAACCGTAACAATGCGATAAAAATACTGCTTTATAATTATTCGTGGTAGTCTGGTGAACTTTATTCGCGTTTACACGTACAGAGTGTTTCGTGTTCTGAGAAACTATCGAAGATATCGACTTCATTCCTCGTACAATCACATGGTACAGAGGAGGCTAACTTTAATTTAATTTCTGATTCTGTTTTGGTTATAATTCTATTTAGAACACACTTTAAACAAAGTTTAGGGGGCGCCCTCTTTTTTCTCTTTAACCGTAGCAAAGATGACATTGATATCTTCATTCGTTTAAGAAAGCTTGTAACACTTGACACGGGACAGCCTGTACGATTTAGTATTTATACGGAACGATTGTCGCATAATCGAAACGTGTAAGTGAATTGTTTACGTTAGGTCCATATTCGCGTCGGGGGCATTTCGTGAATTATCGTTAGACATCAGTATTCCTTTTTCACGTAGCTAAAGTTAGTATAAGTTTATGAATCGTTCGCGTGCTATGTACAAGTACGACTAATTAATCGCATCTCATCGCAGTTATTAAGTCGCTGTACTTCGAAAGACTGTTTTCTTTATTTAAGCGTATCTCTGCATCTCTTTCTTTTCATTATTATCGTAGTTCTAGGCGATAATTTAGAGGTGTAGACACACGTCGCCACGTTATTGTAACGACTGTTGATTGTGGCAGTAATTGTACTATGTTACGGTGATAATATAGCAAATACATTTTTTATTAAAAATAAAAATATGGTTCTGTGTATCATTATAATCTCCTACGCGATCTCAATGTTCTGCATGTTTGTCACATCGACCGAAGAACAGATATTTTTTGTTCTAATGCTTCGTAATCTACTGGTTTCAATCATAGTGCTTAAGCGAGTTAGACTTTAAACCGTGATTGGCTTGATTTCTCTCAATTAAGTGATCGTCCCTGATTGTCATGAAGTGTCACGATTGTCCTGATATCCACCAGTGCACTTCTTAACTAGAAATCATCGTTGATTCATGCAGGACATTAAAAACACATTGGACACTTCGTGTAATGTCAAATAACGGTAGTCATACATATTCAGAATTCAGTTGAAGTAAACATCTTGTATTCGCTAAAAATTTGTTATACAAAGGAGGCATCTTTTACAGGATATTTAGTAATAATAATCATTATATAGGATCGGTGCGATGACCCACTCGCCGCAGCCCTTCTTCATGAAAACAGGTCAACTTACAAGTCAATGAGTGAGTCTAATTTTAATTCTGCCTTCACATGTTAACCCTTAGAAGCCTGATTTTCCAAATTAAATTTTAAAAAATATCAATGTATTTATGATTTGAACAATTTTGACAGCTGACGTTTATTTTTTCAACTTTTGTTCAAAAAACCATTATGCAATGGTAACATACATACAGCCAAATATTAAAAACAAACCAATTGCAAGTGTACAATTCGATTTAAAAGTTCGGTATCAAATTTGAAACTTAGGGCATTTAAGGGTTAATTTCAGGCATTTTTATTACTGGTATTTTTAGGTTGTAACACATGAAACGCCTCATTTTGTATTGGCAAATTTTTTTATCCACTTTCTCGAAAAATATTTCTATCCTTCAGATCTTTGACGCATTATGGCAAAGTTCAGAGTCTCCTTCATTTTAATTTTCAAACATTTACATATTTTCACCCATTTTCTTATAGTTGTAAGTTGTACATTTTAACGATTCTCATGTTAAAGTTAGATTCAAATTTATTATGATAAATTGTCATTGAAATTTTTAAACGATTACGTATTTGAAGGTAGGAAACGTGTAATTTCTTCATTAAATGTAGAGATTTCGATACCTTCTATCTTGATCAGTAACGTTTAATATAAAGAAAAAGTTATATTTGCTTAAAGTTTTCATTATAAATCAGACGTTTCATGTGCTACAACCTCACACTGGTATTAACGCATGCTGTTTTACCGGCCCGCTAGTTCGCTGGCTCGAGTCTCCTCGCTTACGCCTATGACGCTGTGATTGGTCAGTGTTTTTCGTTAATAATTCAAAAACGAAGCCCCATCCGACATTTTTGCAAAGGAAATTGTTGTTCAGAATCGTCTCAGCTACCCCCCATTTCCGGCTCCTCCCCGACTTTTGGGACACCCTGTATAATATATCATGATGTATAATAATCATGATGCGAGCGATTTTTGAACGTGGAAGCAGTGATGCCAGCCGGACCGGATTTTTGTTAGATAGTATGGATCATTAGCAACATTCAAGAACCAATGTTGATACGATTTCGATTGAAATTAAATAGTTATAAACATTTTTCGGCGATTAGTAGGCGAAAAATTTTGATTTCGCGCTGATTTTATGTGTCGCCATCTAGCGGTTGGATCTGTAACGGTAAATCTGTGCGAAAGAGAAAGATATACGGTGCGAGACGGATAGAGAGCACCGACACTGAAACGACAGTGCGCATGCGCACGGTACACTCATTTATTTATCGATTGTTTATCGACTATTTACAAATAATTCACGAACGTTTGCATACTCAAATTAAAGCTTAGGCTTCTAGGAATCTTCCCCTGTAAATTGATTAAATCGTTATGCACTATTTAAATTGTTATAAACAATTAAAGACAACCGTACTTTTGACCGTAGTACTTTGGAACTACGGTTGTCTTAAATTGTTTATAACAATTTAAATAGTGCATAACGATTTAATCAATTTATAGGGGAAGATTCCTAGAAGCCTAAGCTTTAATTTGAGTATGCAAACGTTCATGAATTATTTGTAAATAGTCGATAAACAATCGATAAACAAATGAGTGTACCGTGCGCATGCGCATTGTCGTTTCAACGTCGGTGCTCTCTATCCGTCTCGCACCGTATATCTTTCTCTTTCGCACAGATTTACCGTTACAGATCCAACCGCTAGATGGCGACACATAAAATTGGCGCGAAATCAAAATTTTTCACCTACTAATCGCCGAAAAATGTTTATAACTATTTAATTTCAATCGAAATCGTATCAACATTGGTTCTTGAATGTTGCTAATGATCTATACTATCTTCCACGAGTACCAATGTCTTTTATTCATCTGCAAAAAGTTAACAAACGATCGAGTAAAGCTGATATTTCTAACAATATAACTTGTAGTTAAAACTGAAATCCTTGATAATCATTCGATAGCAATGCGTGTGACAATTGGATATGTTCCTTTGTAAGACATAACTGGGCACAACTAATCAATATAAAAAGTTTTCCATAAGGATATTCAATTTATAGCTTAATAGAAAAGGACGTTCGACAAGCAGCATCTTCATCTTCTTTTTAAAAAGTTAAAGAAGTAATTCATCGACAAGTAATTCTTTTAGAAGAGTTAGAAGTTATTCATCGAAGTATGCATCATCTTTGTACACTCTTTCGATTTCTTGAAAAATCATACCAACGATAATGACGCATTCAAATAAAGTAAAAATAACTTCTGTCGTACCCGTTCAATTGTAGGGAATCGCAGTTAAACATTTGAACTCTACCGTGGATGATGTGATTTGTGCTTGCGTTAATAAGTATTATTGTGTTTTTTATCTTATGCATACTGGTAACAGTTAAAACGACTCCCATACGCTAGTTTCTACTACTTTTATTTTATATTTTATACTAGAGATTACTCATTTCATTCTAATTTTTAAGTGGTAGTTGAATGAATTGAGGATCAAGCCAATTTTTAATATTTAATATTATAATAATTGTATAAACAATTATTTGTTTATATCTGGAGATTATTTGTATATATCTTTATTTGGACTTTTATACAGTTTTCTAATTTATATAAATGTCACATGTATCTTTGCAGATACATTTATGTATATAAATTTAAAAAATACCATGTAGATTGTATTGAGATATTATTCACCAATTAAAAAATATATTTAAATAGTAACAATATATTTAAATTATAACAAAATTGCAAATACATTCACAGTGAAACATATTTGTATTATCACAGAAGTAATATATCTCTTTAGTAGACGAAGTTATATAATACATATTTTAATTACATCCAATGTACTCACATATAAATAAATAATTAGGAAATATGTTTAAGTCTGAAGCATGTAAGCATAAGTACTGTAAGCGGGAGACATTGTAATATGTTTAGGAAAAATTACAATTGATAAAATATTTTAATTTCAAATAATTCTACTAACTAATATTCAATGCTAATAAATATTTGGAATATTGATTAGACAAATTCATTATAATACAAGATTGTATGAATGAAGGCACTAATGATAGCAATATAATAGATTGAGGTACCAACATTACCAATATAATAGATTGAAACAATAACATTAGGAATATAATAGACGAAGAGGCTAATGCGCCAATATAAAGTTCCGTTTCTGATTTTATTGTTTTAGCCAGACGGTTCGCGTAAATAATTTTTAGGTACATAACCTTTATTACCATAACGATCTTCCATGAGCCACCACTCATCGTTGCCTTTTTCATCGTGTGGTCTAACTAACCTTAAAGCCTGCCCTTTAACTATGGCCAATGTTCCGGGAGTATTTACAGAGAAATCATATTCCGCGTAATAAAACTGAAAAAAATTGCAATTTAAAACTATGAAGCATCTTTTGACGATAACTTTATAATAAACGATATTGTCTACCTCATAATTTAGATTTTGATATTGTTGAACTCTAGGAATTTGCTCAATGTTGCCATAACAATGGGTTTCCTTTTTTACTTTCTCAGTGACACTGAGTTCAAGTAACTCTTGCAAATGCGACTGAGTTTCTTTTTCTTTTACAGGAGAATCCATGCAAATTAGATCGGGTGTGGGTGTATTATACAATTTGTTTGCGGTGATAATTTCATTAGATAATGGGATTTGCGGTACTTGTTGAAGTTGTAATACCTTTGATGGTAAAAATCCTTGCGCGACACCATTATCTACAAACCACCTACTCGCATCACCCATAGGATCTTGTTTCTTTATTACTGCAACCAGGGTTCCACGTGCTGCACCCATATCCAAAGATGAGGTGCTCACTACACTTTCTGTAACTATATATAACTTATCGCTAGTATATTTATTTCTCAACGTGTTTCTTTGTTTTTCACTTTGTGGACACCATGTGGACTCAGCTTCTTCTATTCTTGGATTTGATCCAGCAAATGCAAAGCGCGTTATCTGATTCCACAATAAGCTATGATTAACTAGAAATGATTCTAAAATATCTTGAGATGATAGTTGAGTTGAAGTCTAGAAATATAAGTCATATACTATTTAGTTATTTTCTTTTCAAACGCTTGCAAATATTAGTCATTACTCCATGCAAAATACCTCGCAAAGGGTTAAATAGTGTTTGGTAATTTTTCCGCATAAAAGTTTCCGAGCTTGAGCAAAAGCACTGATACAATTAACTAATACATTCGTTGCTGCATTAACCAAAATTGGCAATTCTTCTAACAGTTGTTGCGTTAATGCTTCGTAATTACTTTTTGCGGTTGCCAATTCATCCTGTACCTGTACAAATGTTAGAAAATTGAAATGTTTTAGAACTCATATACTTTTAAAAAAAAATAGTACAATATAACACTTACAATTTTTGATTCTTTATACTTCTCACTCTTAGAAATAGCCGCATCATAGTCAAGTAATTTGTCATGTCTTTTTGTTATTAACATTGCAGGTCCTTCTAATAACATCGCTAAAAAATTTATTGGTGCACTGACTCTGTCCTTTAAACATCCTTTTAGTTCTTGGATGAATTGTGACCAAATCGTAGATCGTATATCTCTAAGTCTCCTTGCTTCAACATTTGGTGTCCCTTGGTAGTATTGAATCAAGAAATCCGATATTACTTCTCCAGAAATAGCTTCGTCGCTTAAATATGTAAGACACTGGTCAACGTCTTTAGCTAATTGTAAAGTACATTTTTCCACAGATCGAAACTCTTTTTCAAGTTCTTCAAATTCTGAATCGACGGCAACGTTTGTTAATCCTAAACTAGCCGACAATCGTGTACTTAACCGCATAGACATTTTTGCTACGGAATGCATATTAAGTTTAGACATTTTGCTTATTAATGTATTGTCATTGTCCAAGTACTTGGTCACCAAATCTTTCCGACGCTTGTACTCGTTAATGTGACTAGCAACTGCCGTCATAGTCCTCCATGCTTCCTCGACTACAGACTTATCAGGATGGTTGTCTTCGGTACACTAAAAAACGGCTACATGATTTCAAAGAAGTTTACAATATACTGATTATTTATACGTAAACATTTGAGTATACAAGTATTTATTGATTCATTGGAATGTTACACGTAAAAGGTCTGCATAATACTGACCTTTACCAATTCATATAAAATAAGAGGATACTTCAATATTCTTTGTACTGGTTTTATAAGGACAGAACTCATATCAAAGCAAGCTACTTGATACCGTAATGTTTCAATACCTTTGTTAAATACTTTCATTATTTCTTCATTACTTTCATACTGAAATTATAAAATATATACATAGAACACACAAAATATAAAATCCATAAGAAAAACATATGTACAATATATAACCTTCTTTAGTAAAGCTAAAGCAGCTTCGTGATTTCCGCAATATTTCACATAAACATTTTTTAATTTTTCAGACATCTTTATGAAGCAGGGACCAATCGTTTGTAATTCTTCGTCGCATCCTTTCATTGCTTTCAATATCATATCTAGCAATTCGTCGGCAACTTGAATAACATCAAAAATATTACCAAATAAGATAGCTACATCTATTCCCAGAGATTCGAGTGAGCTTGGATTATACAAGTTAAATGTTTCATAAGTTAATTTTAAATCGCGAACATACTCCTTTTCTGTAAGGACTAATTCTGATATAACATTTTGTCTTTGATCTGCTCTTTTTTGCTTAACATCTATGTTATTGTTGCCAGCAACATCGATTTGTTGATTAACATTTTCAGAAGTTTCTGTATTTTCTGTTACATCTTTCTGCAATGGAATTCTACCCGGAGCTGGCACGGGGGGTGCGGGTCTATGTGGTTCTGAAAGCCTTTTTGACTTTTGTTCTTCAGTCCTTATAGAACTCGCTTCCTCGTGCCGTATTACAACGAAATCTTCCAACATGCTTTGCATAACATCCAGTGATTCTACATGTAAAGAACTTAGGTATCCTCTCGGACATAAACCAATTTTACCAGACTTATCTTCAACATTAACCCAATCTGAATTTACCATATCGATTACCGTAACTATATCACCCTCAATAACATTCAAATCTCCATCCATTTGAGCTCTAAAGGTGTATTCCACTTTTGCTTGTGTTCCGGGCATCAATTCATCATATTCTGTGATACCTACATCTTGATTAAACATGTTTTGCTCACTGTTGTTTTCATTGCAGTCTACTATAATATTAACATAAGATATAGGAAAGATGCCTTTCCGATTGTCTATTGTACCTTCCATCCATTCTGAATCTATATGTTTAATGAGATGTACTATTTCCTTCTCTCCAAAACTAAGTTCATTTGGAAACTGACCACTGAATGGATATAAAGTTATAGCATATGGTTTAACATCATATGGTTTTACAAAATTACTATTTTTTATAGTATCTACCATTGGATCTGATGTAATTGATTTATATTGAGGGAATAAGTCATAATAATCTGGTGCTGGTTCTTCAGTAGAAGATTGAACAGTTGTTTCATTAACATTTATATATATCGTTTCATTGTAAGTAGCTGGTGAAGACATGGAGCTATTTCCTACAGCAGAAGCTGTATCTATATTGTCATCTGTATCATCTATATAAGACACAAATCCTTCTGGGAATATTCCTTCTTTCCCACTTTCTGATACTCCATGACACCAACCATCATTAAGAATTTCTGTGACTGTAACTATCTCTCCTTCTACCAAATCAAGTTCACCTTCGAGTTGTGCTTTTAGATTAGTTTTTATTCTAGCCCTTCTTTTAATAGTCTTTTTTTCAAAAGCTTTCTAAAGCAATACAAGATTTATTACTTCTGATTTCAAATAAATTCTTTTACCTCCAGACTAACCATTGCATACAAAGCATACCTTTAATAATTTAGAATCAAGTTGCCATGCATGAGTCAAAGGAAAAATACCCTTCTTGGAATCTATTTGTCCTAAATACCATCCAGATCCAACATCCTGTACTCCAATAATAATTTCACCTATTTCCATAAAATACAAGATGAAATAAATGTCCTAACTAAAAATAGATTTTAGTTTATAGACAATGGAACTAATTACCTTGATTAAAAGATAAATCTCCATCCTGCTGCCCTGGAAAAGCAGCAATTGAAACAAACAAAGTTTCCGAATCATGTAGTCGAGGGATTTCTACTTTGTGTAAATGACTCGAAGGAAATTTTCCTGACCTGCCACGAGATTCTCCGTAACACCAGTGTTTATCTATGACACTGTACACCTGTTCCAATTGTATAACGAATATAGCATAATTTTGTATTTATTCGAAATGAGGTTATACGAAAATGTTTACATAGCATATATGTGTAAGATTACCACAAAGTATTCTCCTTTCTGTAAACTTAATTCACCGTCGACAGTTGTGAGAAAATCGGATAAAACTTTCGTCAATTGTCCCGGTTCCATTTTTTTACGCGATCAAATTAAATTTAACGTTTAATTTCGGGAAGTCGCAATTCGCAGTTTTGTGAAGACTGACTGACACCTTGTCAGTTTTGTGAAGCTGACTAGTCACGTGGCAAGAACCTCTATACTGCTCTATGTGTAATTAGGAATTACTAATTATATTATCATAACATACTGAATTAGTGAAATTGTCTGAAATATGTAATATAGAAACGACTAGAATTATTACATAATATTTCTCGTAGATTACTGTCTATCAAGACGAATAGTGTTCGTCGTGTTTACCTTTTGTAATCGCTCACTTTTCTACAAATAAATTTATTTAATTACGACTGCAACGTCAAGTGAAGTTTCTAATTGTTGTCCCAGCGAATATTAACTATCACGATATAACAAATTTTTGTATATAACATCAACGTTTTCGTTTAATACGCGATACAAGTGCAGCTTCTCATTTGAGGTTAAAGATCTAATTTGGGAGTTTGATATTTTTATATCAGTAATAATGTATCCCATGTTTATATAAGAATGTATCGATAGAAATGTAATAAACTTTGTTAGTTCGCAATATTTTCTTGTGAAAGTTACATTTAAATTACTACGCGATTAATAACCTTAAGGTTATGAAATCACATAGAGAATAATTTTTACATGGACGATCTATAATTTTGATTTACATCCAAAAATAAGACTAAATAATCTATTTAAAGATGCAGTGCTTGAAGAAATTTATTTATGTTGTACAAAATAAGTCTCGATATTATAATAGAATAAACCCAATATTTAGAAAAAGAGAATGTGCTGTATTAAAGTTTGTTCATCGATTTCAACATGATTCTAATGTAGAATTAGAAGGATATGGAGAAGATGAAGAAGAGAAAGATATTTACAAGAATATGTCGCAAGAATATTTAGGGATAGCTAGTGGTGGACATAAAGTGTTTATTATACAGCCATATATAAAGTGGGGTCGTGACAAGAAAACAAACACTACACCTACATTACAATTGGAGGAGGCAGTAGCACTTATTAAAACGTTACCCAATTGGTCTATAGCCGAGACAAGACTTGTACCTCTGCTAAGTTTGAAGAAGAAACAATTAGTTGGTTCTGGAACTCTTGAAACTTTGAAAAGGGATATTCACCGTGTAAATGCCACAGCAATGTTTGTTAGTACAAATTTACTGAAGTTTGTACAAATGGCTGAATTACAGGCAGCCTTTTGGGTACCAGTTTATGATCGCTATTCTATAGTTATCCATATTTTTCGTGAACACGCAAAGACTCCAGAAGCAAAATTGCAAGTGGCTCTAGCTGAAATACCATATATAAAGAAGAAAATGATGGAGTTAACTACTAATCATGGTGGACGGATAAATATAACTGAAAGATGTAAATTAATGCTTGAAAGAAGAGAAAAAAGGATACGAAATACCCTTCAGAAGTTAAGAGAACATAGAAAACTGATAAAAAATCAAAGAGAAAAATATGGCTTTCCAAGTATTGCTGTAGTTGGTTATACAAATGCTGGAAAAACATGTTTGATAAAAGCATTAACAGGAGACGCATCAATGCAACCGGAAAATAAATTATTCGCTACTTTAGACACAACAGTTCATCAAGGATTTCTTTTCAATACTTTAAAAGTATTATATGTCGATACTATTGGGTTTATTCAAGATGTACCAGACACTTTAATAGAACCATTTAAAGTAACTTTAGAAGATGCTATAAATGCAGTATGTTAACTGTTTTACTTGACAATTATTTAAAAATATTTAAATGCTATAACTTAATTTCCTTAACCTTTTGTAGGATATTATAATTCATGTGTTTGACATAAGTCACCCTGATGTCAAAGCACAAGTTCAACACATTCAGGAAACAATAAAACCTATGATAGGTGAAAATAAATTAGTAATTAACGTTGCCAATAAATGTGATGTTATTGGAAAGGATACAAATGAGAGAGTGGAAATACCAGAAGATACATTTGTTGTCTCTGCCACTGCATTAACCGGCATCGATCTATTACGATTAAAAATAGAAAAAGAAATTATATCTGCTGCTAATCTAATATCAAAACGTGTTAGACTAGAAGCCGGTAGCAATATCGTATCATGGTTTTACAAGGAAGCAACAGTTACATCTGTCGAGACCGACCCTGAAAATCCACAGTATCTAGTAATGGATGTAATTATGTCACATGGTGCATTTCATAGATTGAAGAAGTTATCCAAACAATAAAAGATTTCCTTCAGTATATTTTTAAGAGATTTTTAATTTTACGAGTCGCTCCGAACACGTGTTACGCACGTGTTCTCTTACAGTCGTCACTTCGGAGTACCAGATGTAGGACTATCGGAAACTTTAACCGAGGTATACGTTAGTGGAATGTACTTTTACAAGTATCGAACGAATGTAATGTTTACGTAAAAAGAAGTTTACCATCCATACTACGACTACTACTACTACTACTACTACTATTATTTGTATTTTTTTTAATAAAAATGAGTATAGGTATCGTTATATATTTCTTAGTTTTATTCAAATACATTGAAATTGATTGAAAATATTCTATATAAGTTTCTCTCAGAACTTATTGAAAACATGTAAAGATAAAAGTTTGAAGGATGTTGTATGCAAGTGTCCATGCTCCATAGTGCTGCGCATTCCAGTATAAATCGGTCTGTGACGTGATGCGTGGGCCGCGGAGGATGCGGTTTCGCATTATCGGGAGAGTAGAATTCAAGCACAGTGGATGGCACGTTGAAAAAGAGAGATACGAAAATCCGACGAAGGGTAAACGAGATAAGGAAGTTCGTTACACTCGGCTCGGTCTGGCCAAATGCGGTTTGATATACGAGCCTCGATTGTTGAGAAAGGCGGTAGCAGAAAATCGGGGCAATTACGTACGCGCGTGTGGCAGCCGCTAAATCAACCTCTGGAATTTAATGAACAATCGATCTGTCGGTCCCTGGATTGTTCTTTTCCGAATGTGAGTACGACGGCGGTTACCTTTGGGCGTTTATTAAGAGCGGAGTTTATTTGTCTTATCTCTCTCTCTTTCTCTCTCTCCCTCCCTCTCTCTCTCTCTCTCTCTTGGTGAGCGCAAGAACGATCATCCGCCGCAAGAAACTTCGCGGCGAGGGTGCCGGCGACGTGATGTATAATTCATAGACCCGCTGGTTCATGCATATATAGATATATATAAAGCGTCTTGAGGAATTAATCGCGGCGTCGTGTAGAAGAGTTTCGACGTGGCGTCCTTCGGTGAGGAATTAATGAAGGATTGATATCACGATTATGGCCCTCCCTATGGGAAGGGTCCGGCGTGCCAAGAGCCGATCGACAACGAGCAAACGGCCCACGATAATTAATTACGAGCGTGACGTCGCTTTAACGTCGTTAATTTTCATTATCTCGATTGGAATTTGCTTGTAGCGCACCGTGTACCGCTTTCGGGCTAGCTAATTTCGTGCCTCGTCTCGGCCTCACCGCGGAAAAGGCATTAATAATTCCGGCTGTCCTTGCAAAATTTGTCATCCACCCAGTCGGCCAAGCCGCGTTAGGTAACGTTAATGTTGGTCCACGCACACCAGACGCTCTCTCCTCTTCCCTATGCTTTCACGGATGGAAGGATCCCGGCAATGCACTTTGCGTGTTGTCTGGATTATTAAAGCGAACCAAGTGAAACCTAATTATCGCGGTGCCACTCCTGGCACTGCCCCTAGCCGAACGACTAATTTCCACCGCTTTCCTACTGTTTACCGAGACAACAAAGCAACAACTTTACATTCTCGCCGCTCCCAACCTGTGGGACGACTCTAATCTCTGTAATCTTCGCGCGTCCACGTATTAGATGTACGATTGTCTGCACTTTTTCCTCGTTGTTCTCGCAAGTTGCGCTCGCCTTTGTTTCTATGCATTGAACTAGAGGTTTTTCTTTCACTTTTCTATATATTAAAGATTGTATCTCCCTGGAAATACATGGAATTTAAACTCCACGAGTAGGAAGGTCTACGAGGCTGGTGTGGCCGTTAGAATTAGAGAAAGGAAGTGGGGAGTGAAGGTGTCAAGGTCGCTTCGAGGTCAGCTGACCTTTTCTATAGAACTCGAGTGAATGTCGGGATACGTAAGGTCACGAATACATACTATTTTCCTAGTAGTAGTTATCAAAACATGATATATATTCATTTTGGAGAATTTTTTTGAAGGGAAAGTTTGAGTTGGTTCGTCTTCAAGTTTGGCATATTGTCTTCTTGATTATTGTACAACGTTTTGTCATTTCTATATTTAGAAAATCGATTGTATAGTGGCATCTGTATGCTTTCACGCGCAGCACCGTATGAAGAATACCTTTGCGGTGCTCGGTGGCTTCAAGAAATGCGTCGAAGACATCAATAAAAGTTGAATTATAATAGAATTATATATAATTCTAGTCAATTTTTTGGAGTACTAAACGTGTTTCAAGAAAAAAAAATTGAGTAAATCGTGCTGCATGAAAGAAAAGTTTCAGTTTAGTTATTCAAATTAGAAAATCAGACATCTTGGGGAGATTTTGTCAGTTTTTTGTGTCGTGTAACGAACAAGGGTCGTATTTCTTTCGTTCCAACGTGCCATTACATCTTGCATCCCAGGCCTGTTAGCGACGTGCGTTTATCTGGTGCTTCCAACTACAAAGCTTGCAGCTTAACCGGGAACTACGACCCAACAATTACACGAACGATTGACTAACGAATGTCGATCGCCGCCGAGTGACTCGTATAATGTAATGATTGGCCGTCGCGTTGATTTGGTTGCTGTTACAGATTCAATTACGGTTCGCACGGCTTGATATTTTGCGTCCCGATTGGACATCCCGAAATCGACGAGGACCGTAGCCACTTTGATCTCTGACCGTCGGTGGTCCCCGAATCGAATTAAACACGGCTATGCGCATAAATAACGAAAAACATGTCTATCGTTCAATAGCAACTTTGCCGTTGGACATAATTTCGTTCGTTTTTTTATGATCAGTAGTTATACTAAGAAAGGGTCTGCAGGGTCTTCCCTTCATCCAAGGAAAAGGGGAATTTTGAACTAAGGTAGATTGATACCCTCACAGATTACTTTCTTCATTTATATAGCTCTGATTTCTTATATTTCTAGCATAATTCTCCCAATTTACTAAGTTTGAGTGTTGAAATTTTGTCGTCATTTCGTTCATTCCTAGCCAAATAACTACCTACTGCAATATTCCCAATAACAACGCATGCTTCTTATAAATCATTTCAGAAAAGAAACGATCATCTCCAAACGATAAACCTCAACCCCCCAATCAACCTAGATCCCCCGCATCTCGCTCGCCAAGTATCATCTATTTGCTGGTTTATTATCTTGGGAACGTCGTGTCGTTACAAGTAACACGAAAAGTAAGTGGCGATAAGTTCGCAACGTTACGCCAACATTAAATCGTCGGGTATTATCGTACGATGATTAATTATGCATTTCACACGAGGCTGGTACGGTGGGGCATATGTTTCCGCTCGTCGACAGGACATTCTAAGGATCAGACTTCCTCGGATTAATTGCGCCGCGATAGCCGTTGAATGGTCTCCCGCGACGAGAAATCAACGCAAAGGTGGGCCCTTTATATGACGTGACCGATGTTCGCGGGGACGGATATGAGCTGAGCAGGGAAGTCGGTAACTTCAAAGCGGCACAGAAAAATTTGAATGGCCAGCTCCGCGTAGGAGAATCCCATACTCTCGAATACCTTCGTCAAACGATCAACGCGAATCCCTTTCCACTCCTATCGGCTATCCTTCTCCTTATCGTTTGGTTTCGTTTCCTGACTCTGTCGTTTCCTTGACTCGTCGAGGGTCTCGGGTACAGAGATGAGTATTTATATGGTCGTTGTTACTCTTTTCGAACATCTTATTGTTATTACGGATAAACCTACGTAGATTTACGTATATAGTGGTGGATCGTAGGAAGACCTTATAAGGGTTCAAGGATAATTAGTGAGACGGACCTTTTTTATTTATCAATTATTTTACGGAAGACAAGTGCCATCCTTGTGGTAATTTATTGTCTATATGGTTAACTTTGATATTTTTTGTATGAATTACATTTTACAGAAACAGTACTAAAAGGAGACACGTGTAGAGCCTTGTGTATATTTGGCATAGTTTTTGTTACTAGGTAATAGTGTCATCCACAGTATTGGATAGCAAATAAATTAAAAAATGTATAGATGAGTACTTAGGACTATGTGGGAATTTATAATTTGAGTAGTTTAATGGTATTAGGTTGTCTCGAAAGTTTCTTTCGCGAGTTGTACTCAATTATTTTATGTGGTCGTGTTTATATAAATAGACAATCTAATTTCATAGATATTCATCTTGTAACAGTAACGGAGCATAACATAAATTCAATAATGTAACATAAAACATAAACACTATTGTGCATGTATTACTTATTAATAAAGCGAAAGAAACTTTTGGGATAACCTAATAGATCCACTCTGCATGTGGGGCAAGGTCGACTTATTTGAATCATCACCTAAATTGATAAATTGTCGAAATTAGTATGATAACGACATTTACCGCATGTGCTTTCAACGTTGTTATGATATTGCGGCATGTGGTTCAAAGTAAAATCAATTAGAGGAGCTTGATGTATAGTTGAATTGGGAATTTAAATGGAAAAAAAATATTATTTTGGAACAAATACAGTTTTCATCGATAGAAACTATTGATTTTTTTTTCAAGAGTTTTATGACTTTCTCAAAGAGACCGTTTTGTTATTCTGTAATTAAAAGAGGCGTTCTCTATAATTAACGCGTTAATTTATTCAAAGTTTGAACATTAATAGATCGCGACGCCCATTTTGAATTTTATATGATTATTTGTTTCCGAAGCACAGTTTCCAAAAATTGCTCATTTACCCTTCAATCTATTTTTGGGCGATAAATATTCCCCTCCATTGTTTTTCCAATAAATATAAAACGATACTCCCTAGAAATGTTTTTAATTTGCTAGAAAAATAACAATTCAAATGACACTCCAATGTAGTCACCCTACCAATTAAATCTTCCGCGTCTCTTACGATCATTCAAACTCAAACCAATCGAAATTGAAATAGTATGCAATTATCATTCGTTTTGTCGGTTCGAGGAAACGACAAGTGGAAACAGACGAACGTAGACCATTAGAGTATTTCGTTCGTTTAGCCAGTCACAACACGAGTCAACGGGGGCGAGAGCTAGGCCCGTATACGCGAGGCGCAGGGCCACCGGTTTGCGAGTGTCTTCAGTCTATCATTTTTCTCCCCTGATACAAAGTCCACTAGTCATAAAATGTTGCTTACTGCAAGTTACAAGTATAACAAATAGTCATAATAATTGTAGAAGAGTAACAATAAGCAAAATATTCCGCTGCGTGTAGTGTCTATCAGGTTGAGACAGGTTCGGAGTACCGAATGTTATATGTAGAGATATGTATAAATGTGCATAGATGCATTGGAATAAAGATCAGGTTGAAGACTTAC